AAAAACCCAAAAAAGGGGAAAAAGGAGAAGGAATCTTTTTCCTTTTACCTTCTTCTTCGTTCTTTTCTTCTTCCTTTTCCTTTTCTTCTTTCTTTCTTTTTCTTCTTTCTTTTCCTTTTCTTTTTTCTTCTTTCTTCTTCTTCTTTCTTTTTCTTCTTTCTTCTCCTTCCCTTCTTCTTTTTCTTCTTCTTCTTCTTCTTCTTCTTTCTTCTTCTTCCTTCCTCCTTTTTCTTCTTTCTTCTTCTCTTCTTCTTCTTTCTTCTTCTTTTTCTTCTTCTTCTTCTTCTTCTTTCTTCTTCTTTTCTTCTTCTCTTCTTTCTTCTTCTTCTTTCTTCTTCTTCTTTTCTTTCTTCTTCTTCTTCTTCTTTCTCTCTTCTTCTTATTTCTTCTTCTTCTTTCTCTTTCCTTCCTTCTTCTTTCTTTCTTCTTCTTTCTTTTTCTATCTTCCCTTCTTCTTCTCTTTCTTCTTCTTTTCCTTTCTTCTTCTTCTTCCTTCTTTCTTTCTTTCTATTTTCTTCTTCTTATTCTTTCTTCTTCTTCTTCTTTTCTCTTCTTCTTCTTTTCTTCCTCTTCTTCTTCTTTCTTCTTTCTTCTTCTTTTTTCTTCTTCTTCTTTTTTCTTCTTCTTCTTCTCTTTCTTTGTCTTCTTCTCTTCTTTCTTCTTCTTTTCTTTCTTCTTTTTTCTTTATTTTTCTTTCTTCTTTTTTTCTTCTTTTCTTCTTCTTTCTTCTTCTTCTTTCTTTCTTCTTTCTTCCCTTCTTCTTTCTTTTCTTCTTTCTTTTTTCTTCTCTTCTTCTTCTTCTTTCTTCTTCAATTATAGGCATTCAATTCTTCTGCCAGCCGGTACATAATTTATTATTTGTTTGAGGAGTCTGACATCATTTATTCTTACAATATGGGCGTACCAATTTGGTTTCTGTGCTTTAGCTCTTTCTAAGAGGTTAAAAATATTTAGTTCTCGTTGTATATCCACATTTTTCTTATGATCAAATAAAGTTTAATTAGCAACACTTTGCAGGGACTTCATTTTGCTAGTTTGAATTTTTCTTTCGGATGATTAAATTTACATCCAATTTTCGCACCCGTAAGTTAGTATTGGGATGGCAAGTGTTTTATAAAATTTTAACTGAGTGTCTCTTTGAGTTTTATTTTTTAATGTTTTTCTTATGGTTCCACACATTCTCTGGAATCTACTCAGTTGGACATCAAGATCGCTTTCCATTAAATATGGCGCACTGCAGCCTATAAGAAAAAGTGCAAACTTCTTGTAAACTTTTATTATTTAGGGCTACTTTGCACCTGGTATGTTCTGGACCCATAAAAGCCATTGTTTTAGATTTGTTAACATATCTTAAGATGATACTGCTCAATTACTTTTTGTAATTTGTAAACCTAAATTTGTAAGTAATTTCCAGATTCTCCAAGTAGTTGATCATCTGCAAATAATATAGTCTTGAAGGTCATATTACCTATATTTCCAGATAGCTGTGTTTGCCATTGTTCTGTAGCTGAATCTATGTATATATTAACCAATGTTGGTGATAATGGAAAACCTTGTTTGACGCCGTGATTGACGAAAGATGTATTGCTATACTTGGCATTTATTTGTATTATTTTTGTGTTATAAAGATTTTTTATGGTTTTAACCAGTCGAGGTGGGTCGGTCCACGTCCTGATGGGGAGATGCAGGGAGGGCTCTCAAGTATTCCTTTCTCTCACCAATAATCTTGATCTTCCGCATCGTTCATTCTCATTCTTTTATATACTGTGTCTCATTTCTTCTACTGCTTGTATTTCACTGCCCTCCCCGTAGGCAGTACGCCCACCCATGTGTTTTCCGTGCATGGCGACTCTTGTCAGAGGGAAGGTGTGTCCTGGCATTTGAGGGACCTGCTTGTTTCCCACTTGTTTGTTCTACTTTCTGCCTTGTACGTAGGGATACGTTGTTTATGTACTTTAGGGAACATTCCTTGTGTGTAGGTTTCCAACACACTTGCTTTGGCCTCGGACTCTTCTAGACTGGCAGTCGGGAGTTAACTCACTCCGATCAATCGGCTCGGTCTGGGACTTGTACTGAACTCAGGGTAAGCGGGGGGATCCACGGCGGGGCAGCGCTATGACATCTTCCCACTATTTCTTCGTGTCAACCCTGGAACCCCAGTGGGATGTCCCCTTGTTGGACTCCGTGGTGGTTGGGGAGCACGGAGACGGGAATCATCTTCAATTCTATGGAGCATAAAACAACCCCCTTTCCCTCTTCCGTATGCAAGAGACGATGATTATAGAAAAAAAACAGTGGATTTGAATAGTTTCTTTCTCAGGGAAGAAGATAAACCAAGGAAGCCACGTTTCTTTTGATGTTGTGCAGGGAAGAAGGAAAAACATTTAAAAGTACTAGTGCGGTTCGTCTCTCGCGTGCCATTGAGGACAGCTTCGGTAAGCTTCAAGTGGTGGTGCGTCAGAGGAATGGTACCATTCTCTTCGAAGCACGCACCGACGAGCAAATCGAAAAAACTCGAAAACAAAGCAGATTGCCGGCCTCCAGGTGGAAGTGACCACACCCTACCCTTAACCTATGTAAGAGAGTGGTGAATCACGATGGTTTTGCTTCCGAAAGTGAGGGGAAACATGTCTTTTTTCAAGAGTCAGGGCGTAACGGAAGTGTTTAGGATCAAGAAGGAGAATGGAAGAGATCCCTACTCCCACTCTGATCCTAACGTTTAATCTCCCCTCTCTCCCAGAGAGGATTAGTTGCCGTTTTTATAATCTCCACGTGCGGCAGTATGTGCCAAACCCCCTGCGTTTCTTCAAGGGTCAGAGTTTCGGGCCAAACCCAACAGGGGTGCATGACCGTAAGCCCTGTTTGTGCAAAGAGCGGCGAATCCACGCACGATACGGATCCCTGTGCCTGCGTGTTCACTGCGAAGGAGACCATGCGTCCAACTCGAACAGGTGCCCTACATACCTGCGGGAGAGGGACATCCAAAACATCAGAGTAACAGAGAAGGTAACCTTTTCCAAGGCGAAACGCCGATACTTCGTGAACCCTGTAGATTTCGGGCGTTCTTTATCTAGTACTCTGGCCAAGACGGCAAAAACAACAGCGAGTTTTCAGACTTCATCTGCTACTCCATCTGTTGCTCATTTCTGTTTCCAGGTGTCTTCAGTACAAGTCCCTGAAGAGAGATCGCCTGTGCAAGGTGGGAAGATAACAATTCCATTCAAATATGTTGTCGAAGAAAACAGCACTGGCGAAGTCGGACTTACTTCTCGGCCCCGCATGAGGGCCGATGTCACTCGGCCTTCTGGCTCAGGCAAACTTCAAAAAGATCGTTCCTTCAAACTCCGAGCTCCAAGTGATCTCTTAGCTTGTCGATCGGTGCTCAGGAGGAATCTGTCTCCGAGGAAACTTCAGCCGGGGTGAACAGCCGCCCTTTCGGACAGCAGGCATAAACGGGAAAAAGGGAAGAAAAAATCCATTTAGAAGTAAGAAACGTCTAAAAGTTATGGCTCTCCTCTTGTGGAACCTGAATGGCTTTCGCACCCGTATAGATGAATTAAAGCTGATAATGTTTCTGCATGGACCTGTTGTCATCTGCCTGCAGGAAACATCTTCCTGAGCATTCCCTCTCCGTGACTTTTGCTGTTATAGGCATGACATTGATGATGGCCTCCGCGCATGGCGGAGTTGTTACATTAGTCACAGGTTTCCTGGTGTCCAGAGAATAGACGCTCTAACCATTCTTCAGACATCTTGCGTTCGTGTGAATTTCCTGGCCAAGTCGTGTCGCAAGAGGATTTTGAAGATTTTATCTCTGTTGCCCACTCCTTTTCTTATTGTGGGGGACTTTTAATATCCACAATCCCGCCTGGGATAGCACCTGCTCGAGAGGCAATATACTTTAAAATATTATTAACAACCAGAACTTCATTCTTCTGAATTCTGGCGAAAGCATACATTTCTCTGTTGCTTCAAACACTTTCTTGTCCATCGATCTGGCTCTGGAGTCCATCTCCCTTTACCATCTTTGAGTGGACTATTCTGCTACTGCTCCAGGACCGGACCATACCAGATACATAATCAAATGCTTAAACACCTACCGGAAAATGCTCCTTTTTTCCTCCGCATTTACGACTTAATTTGGGATACACATTCCTCACCAAGGATTTGGCGTGAAGCCATTGTTATTCCAATCCCTAAAGAAGGAAAGGACAGAACAATCCCTTCAAGATACCGTCCAAAATAGCTTACAACCAGTGCGTGCAAGCTTTGAGAACGAATAGTAAACAAAGTCTAGTCTGGCTTCTGGAGCAAAGGTATCTATTTAAACCTTTTCAGTATGGTTTCAGG